AGTACAATAACAGACATAACAGAAATAAAAAACGAAATAAAAAACACTTTAATTTGCCAAACAGGCCCTAACATCTGCAACTAAGTTATTTTAACATTATTCCAACAATTTTCAAGCATGTAAAACCCACAATCTCTTTATTTCCTCAATTGCATTACTTCAAATAACTGAAGTGATGTAAAACATCTTGCATTCCTAATTCTACGAGCCATGTTTGTACCAAGCCCCTCAGGGCAAGCCCAAACAAGTCCATGTTAGGGTCTTAAATTCTTAATCCCTACACAAAAATAAATGATTTTATAATTTTAACTACCTTTTAAGAAAATATTTTATTAGGATGAATGAATGAACAACATTAGCAAATAGGGGGGTGGTTCTTGGAGGGGCTTGGCCACCCCAGGCCCAACTACTAGGTTCAAAAAGTAACAAAAAGCACAAAAAATAAAAAAGGCACACACCTGGTCTGAGCGCAAGGTGCACCAGGCACACGCCTAGGCGCACCAGGCGCGTGCCTTTTGAAAGTGCTGTGCCTAGGGCCTAATGCACCTCGCCTGAGCACCTAGGCACGCCTTTTAAATCACTGCTTTGATGGTAGCAGTCGTGGCAATCCAGGGACATCAGGTATAGGGGGTGTCATAAGGGATGAAGACGGGAATACAATTGCCTTGTTTTCAGCCAGTTGGTCTAAGGAGCTCCATTTTTGCTGAGTTCCAAGCAGTTCTGCTGGGTGTGCAACTTGCAAAACAGTTAAATGTGGACAGATTGATAGTTGAGGGTGATTCCAAGCTGGTAGTTGGGTGACTGATCCAGACTTTGTTATTTGGACCTACAAGGAAGCTGCGAAGAAGTTCAAATGGTTAACCTTTAATATGCTTGTAAGAATTCAGTGGCAAAGAAGGTCAGCTAATGGGTTAGCAGATTCCTTAGCTAAGCAAGTGTTTTTAGGGAATCTATCTTTTGGGCTGAATTGTAAGTTGATTTGTACATGAGGCTGCATCTTGCATCTCCTTTTGGGATGCCTGTCTGTACACTTTTTGGTTAATTCTTAATAAAATTTTCGCTTCCTATAAAAAAAAAAGACGAGTTGGGTTAAGTTTTATCTTTTCCTTGGGATAAAAGAAGAAACATTACCATAACAAACTCAACCCCTAGTTCAGGCCGATCAAATTGAACTCTGCATCTATTGCGGTCAACTGTCAGTACACTACCATCATGAATCTCACATGTCTTGGGATGAGATGAAATGACACGCTGTCCAACTGATAAAGGCCGTGCTAGATCTGTAGGCAAGCCTTCCCTAGTACCAGCACGGAGTTCTGCATAATGTTTCCAAACAGATTCACGATATTGTTCTAGTTTCTCCTTTTCTTCCCTTAAAAATTGTTCAGATAACCTCCGAGGTTTTCCAAGGGAACTGCATGACCAAATAAGAGAAATCTTAAGTAATAATCTTGCCAACATTTCTTGATGAGCTTGAAAGAACAATAAAAAGAACAAAAAAAGCTTCATATAGATAAAAAAGTATTTTTTATGAAAAACATTTATTTTTATTGATTAAAAAACAAGAAGTATATACTTAACCGCATATAAAAGTTTCAAGGTATTTTTGTGGAAAGTTCCATCACAAATGCTATACCCACTGATCATTAGATAAACCAAAGGATGTCCAAATAGATATATATCTTCTATGGATAAAAGATTGCAAGGACCATATTGCTTCATGCAATGATAAAGTATCAGGCTGAAAGGTTTCATAACTTTAGTGCCTAGGTCACCTGAATCAATCCAAGTTAGTAACCTCAGACCAATCAAGCTTATAAAGGCATAGGAAAAGTCCCTTGTCTGCACTTAAAAGTACTTCCCTCCATAATGACCATCCAGATTCTAATCGCCAATGAATGTTTTGAAGACTTGAAGAAATCTGGTAAGAAAGATTGGATGAACAAATTGGACTTGGAAAAGGCCTATGACAAGGTACTTGATCATTTTTGGAGGAAGTGTTGACTAGGTTTCGGTGAAAGATTGAGAATGCAGATTATGGGTTGTTTGAAGTTTTGTCACTATTCAATGTTGATGAATGGGTAGTGAAGGATTTCTTCCCATCCAAGAGAAGGTTAACACAGGGAGACCGCTTTTCTCCCCTTCTATGCACAGTTATTATGGATGTGTTTAATTGACTAATCATGAAGGAAGAAAGTATTGGGTTGACAAGAGGGTGGAGGGTGGAGGAGGGGCACAAGTGCAACAACAATCTGACCAACTATTTATAGATGACATAATTCCTTCTTTGTGAATTGTGACTACAGTAGGGAGGAATAAGCAAGGCACTTACAACTCTTTCTAAACTCTCAACTTGACTCTGACATGGTACCAAAGCAGGTCATGACCTGATCCACACATAACATCTCAGTTACCACTGGTTCAAGAACTCTCTAACAGTATTTGAGAAGTTCTTGAGTGTCCTTTAATCTTCTTCCTAGATCGGCTACAGATCTGAACTTTACAGATCTTTTTCTTGGACTGCTGCGCCATCAGATTCACCTTTCTTCTTAGATCTCCTTGTAGAGACATCGGATCAGCCTGAAATCTTAGATCTAGTGTTGCCCAGAGCAGATTTACTGAATCCCTTTGGTTTGGTTTGGATCGGTTTGATTTTGAGGGGTTTTAATCCACTCTTCAGTTCGGCAGAACTTTACAGTTGCCTTTTTTGGACATCAGCTGAAAGTGTGTGTTTTGATCAACTCTTCCTTTGGTTCAAATCTTATTGTTTTCTGGAAGTGTGTGTTGTTGCCTTTTTTTCTTCCAATGGCATCAGAAAGGATGGAGGTTCTTCCTATTAAGTTCAATGGTACGAACTACGCATTATGGAAGTTTAACTTTCAATTCCATGTCGATGCTAAGGGTCTTTGGGGATATCTGGATGGATTTGTATCTAAACCTGATGACTCACATTAAGGGACTTAATCAGTGGAACATTGACAACGCAAAAATTGCGTCGTGGATTCTAGGTTCAGTCGAAACTGATATTGCTATATGAGAGGGTATAGGACAGCCTATGAGATGTACCGGTATCTCGAGAAAGTTTATCAGCAATCGAACACCTCTAGACAGCATCAGATAGAGGTTGACATCTTCTCATACTATCAGGGAGACAGAAAGGTCCAGGAATATTATGCCGGATTCATCAACATTTGGACAAAATGTGAGTTAGTTCACATGAGAAAGATCCTTCAGACTTACATGAAGGAACACTTTGACAGGAGGAAAATTATGCATTTCCTAATGCATCTAAGGCCTGAGTTTGAAATTGTCAAGTCTAATATCCTAAGCCGAGGAACACTTCCTGACTTAGATACTATCCTTGGAGAGATTTTGAGAGTGGAAACCAGATTGACTACACAGATTGCACTGGATGAAAGGAAAGATTCCAACATTGATGTTGTCTTCCTGGAAACTAAATCAAAAGGGAAGAAGGATTTCTCTAAGGTACAATATTATGAATGTAAGGAGTATGGGCACGTTGTCTCCCATTGTAAGAAGAGCACATGCACATATTGCAAGTGGGTCAGCCACATTATTATTGAATGTCCTACCTGGCCTCAAAAAGGTAGTTGATCAAATGAGAAGAAAGGAAACTACAAGGCCTATCAGACTGTTGTAGATGGTTCAAATGCCTCCTCCTCTATTATTTCTATAGCTGGCCAAAACGACACCTCCGGCAGCAAGTCTGAAGAACGGATTCGACAGCCCATGTCCTCGGTCATCTCTTCAACCTTCTCTGCTATTGGTTTGTCTGGTAAGTCACCGGCCTATTGCCCTTCACCGAACCACCTCTGGTATATTGACTCAGGAGCCTCTAACCATATGACAGGGGCCACTCTCGGTCAGTATCCCAAACCCCATCTTCCTAATAGACATTATCACTGCAAACGGTGAAAAGCTGGACACACTTGGCTGTGATGATTTATATTTATCTACCTCTAAGTCATCTTTGTTTCACTTATCCAAAACTTTATTTGTACCTAAGCTTACCACCAATTTGATTTCTGTTGGCCAACTTGTAGAGGAAGGTAACAATGTCTCATTCACTTCTGATGGTTATTTGATATAGGACTGGCAAACTGGGGAGGTGAAGGGGAACGGGCGTAGACTGGGAAGACTATTTGCTTTGGAATTTGAGGAGAATAAGACTGCTCCTGCTTCTACTTCGTGTTTGCTTTCTACTACTTCTAGCTCTGAATCTTTTAACTGTAATAATGATTGGCATTTGTGGCATAAACGCCTTGGCCATCCATTTTCTAAGAAACTTGATCAGTTACTTGCTTCTGGTAGTTTACCTGTTTCTACTGTTTCCTTTAAGAATGTGAATAAAGATTGCATCACTTGTGGTTTATGTAAGAGTCATATTTTACCTTTTCCTTTTCATTCTGAGCATGTAACAGTTCCTTTTTATTTAATACATAGTGATGCTTGGTCGTCTCCAGTTGTCTCATGGCTGGGATATAAGTACTTTGTAACCTTTATTGATGACTATACTCGTTTCACTTGGGCTTATTTTCTTCGAAAGAAATCTGAAGTGTACACTGTATTTAAACACTTTCACACCTATGTTACTACCCAATTTGATGTTCGAATTTGTGTGCTACAATCGAATTCAGGGAGAGAGTATATTGATGGGGATTTCCAAAATTATTTAAAACAACATGGAATTCAACCCCAAAAATCTTGTCTAGGCACCCCACAACAAAACGGGTTGGCAAAAGAATAAGCATATCTTGAGTGTAGCCAGAACACTTCTACAGGATTCCCATGTACCCTCTTGGTTTTGGGTGGAGGTGGCCAGCAGTACTGTGTATCTCATAAATCGTCTACGCCATCTGTTTTGAATAACTCTTCTCCTTTTCAATCTCTCTTTCACAAACCCTCAGACCTATCCATGCTCAAGGTTTTTGGTTGTGCTTGTTTTGTCCACCTTCCACCTCATGAATGTACAAAGTTAACTACACAAGCAACTTTGTGTGCTTTTATGGGGTACAGTTCTGAATATAAAGGGTTCCTTTGCTATGATCCTTCGGTTTGTCGTCTTAGAATCTCTCGTAATGTAGTTTTTCTTGAAAGTGTCCTTTTTTAAACATAATTCAAAAATCCCAGCTCCTATTTCCTTGTTGCACAGTTTTGATTCTATAGGCACCTCAGATATTCCATTATCACATACGCAACAACTTCAGACCTACTCCAAAAAGCAACGACCTCCTTCAGTCTCAATGCCCCCCTTTTCTCCACCACCAGTTGCTGATCCAGTCACTCCAACTGCCTCAGTAAGTGTACTTGGCCTTCCTCCTGAACCCACTACTCCCACTTTACGCTGTTCCTCTAGAATTTCTCGCCCACCTAACTGTTATGGTTTTTCACCAAACCATAGCTCCTTTTCCGCTGTTTTATCTACCATAGACATTCCCAGATCTTACCAGCAGGCTATAGCAAAACCATGGATTCTGAGATTCAAGCCCTTCTTGAGAATGACACCTGGGACCTGGTCAAAACTCCACCTGAGACATCTCTCATAGGAAGTCGATGGGTCTACTCTGTGAAACTAAAATCTGATGGAAGCCTAGACAAATACAAAACTAGGCGGGTTACATAAGGCTACAAACAGGAAAATGGGATAAACTATGAGGAGACCTTTGCTCTTGTAGCTAAAATGACCACTATACGACTTCCGATGGCTGTATCTGCAGCCAAACAGTGGACAATCCATCAGATGGATGTCAAGAATGTTTTTCTCCATGGGGAGTTGAAAGAGACAGTCTATATGAAGCCCCCTCCGAATATTGTATAGATCCACAACTTGTTTGTTGTTTGGAGAAGTCACTTTATGGCTCGAAGCAAGCTCCTAGAGCCTGGTTTGAGAAGTTCAGATCTGTCATCACTGATGTTGGCTTTATCTAGAGTTCTTCTAATTATTCTTTATTCATCTTAAGGCCAAAGCAGGGAGTAACGATATTAGTCCTCTATGTCGATGATATACTCATTACAAGGGATGATACAAAAGGAATTGCTAGGCTACAATAATTATTTAGTGAGTCCTTTAAGGTGAAGGACTTGGGGCCTTTGACATAYTTCTTGGGACTTGAAGTGAGCAGAAACTCCCAGGGCTACTTTGTTAACCAACAAAAGTATGTGGTTGATCTTGTTAAACTGGCAAATCTTAGTGACTCTAAGATTGTGGACACCCCCACTAGAACTGAATTTGAAACTCAACAAAGATGATGGTTCTCTTCTTGAAGATCCTACCCTTTATTGTCAACTAGTGGGCAGTTTAATCTTTCTCACCATGACTCGGCCAGATATATCTTATGCAGTTCAGATAGTAAACCAGCCCGTGTCTTCCCCAAGACAATCACATTTATCTACAGTTCATCGGATCATTAGATATGTGGGAGAAACCCTATCACACGGGATATTCTTATCTTACTCATCCCCTATTAATCTTATGGCTTATGCAGATGCTGATCGGGCTGGATGCCCTGACACCTGACGATCCACTACTGGCTGGTGTGTATTCTTAGGCAACTCTCTTATCTCATGGAAGTGCAAGAAACAAGCTATTGTGTCCAAATCTTCCACTGAAACTGAATACAGGGTTATGTCTTCCGTATGTAGTGAGATGATATGGCTTCAGGCTCTTTTATTTGAAATACTTAATGAGCCATCATCGTTTGTTCCTCTCTATGTAAACAATGTCAGTGCGATTAAAATTACTTTCAACCTCGTCTTCCATGAGCGCACCAAACACAGAAGTTGATTGCCACTTCATCCATGATCTCCTTCTTGAGAGTACCATATCGCTTCCTCATGTCTCCTCCGGGCTCCAACTAGCAAACCTGTTGACTAAAGCGATGACTCGGGCTCGACATCTATTTCTCATGGACAAACTGATGCTTATTCCTAGGCATCAGTTTGAGGGGGAGTGTAGAGATTATGAGATCTAGCCGCAGGGCTATTTTTGTACTTTCACTCTTCTTTGTACTCTCTTTCTTTTGTACACTAAGGGCAGATTTGTCCTTTTACCTTTTTATTATAAATATATCTTTTAGGGAGTCAACTGGTCACACCCACAAAATCTCGTCTCTTTCTTTCTCTCTTTCTAAACTCTCGACTTGACTCTGACACACTAAACAAGGATCCACTAAAACAAGGGCTCCACTCTTCTTCCATCACGGATTTGTATGTCTTCTATGTATTTGGATTATGGTGTTTTATAGATTTTGAATTATCAATTTGTTTTTATGAAATATGGTTATGGATTATCACACCATGCTACTATTAAGGTTTATGTGCTTTTTATTTGTATATTTAATCCAGATTGCATAATTTCATATTCTGGTTATTATTTACTTTTTAAAGTTGAGCTTTGTGTCACTTGGGCATTCACCCCAGGCATCTAGAAGCCCTTGCACTATTGTTGCACCTCTTGATTTGGAAGCATGGCCTATTTTGTAGGTCACCCTACCACATCCCACATCAAGATGGGCAACTATTTTCTAACATACACCAATGGACACAAAAGATTGCATATACTTTTTGCTGAGAAACTTCCATATATAATGCATGTTATCTTTATACTTTAATCACATCATAACTGATAGAAGAAAAAATAAACAGTAAATACCTCCTTATGACACCCCACTCAACACGAGTTAGCCTTGGAATGTGGCCTAAGCCAACATGATTCAAGTATTCAACAAACTCCCGTTTAGCAAACCATGGGTAATCGATTGCACTATAGAACCACTCAAAAGCACACCACCTACGCAGCATTGGAGATGACAGACAATGAGAAAGTGTTTCCTGCAATTGAAGGAAAAGGAAAAAATAAAAGTAAAAAAACTGGCAGTTAGGACTTCAAAAATAAGTTTTAACAAACAATTAGTGTGGAATATTTTTTACCTTCAGATCAAGTGCCTTGTCATGGAGTGAGGAAGCGTATCTATTCAATTGGTCATTTCCAGAACTCTCAGAAGATCTCAACTCCTTTGGGATCAATGCCTTTGGTATACATATCTTACGCCTACTCCTGAGCTTGGTGGGTAAACTAACTTGGTTTACAGGAGCAACCTCTATAGTTGATACAGCTGAATCATTCCCTCCTTGCTGATTGGTACTTGAAGAAGAACGTTCTAAAGTTTTAACTGATTTCCTTTGTTTTGGCAACATATTAACTTGATTAGTACGTTTACCTTTTGTCATGGGTTTCTTCTCTTCTTCAGCTGAGACCTATAAATCAGGGGCATCCAGAGTGGCATGGGTTAGATACTTGAAAAAGCTAAAAGAAATAGGATTATGGAGTACAATTCCTGTATCTATATCTTGGTGCATTTGGAATTAGAGAAATCAGACAGTATTCCAGAATCAAAGCTGCTCAATTGAAGATTTTGCCAAGAAATTTTTGGGAATTATTCATTCTTGAATAGCTGCAACAGATCATTTCATCAATACATCTCACTGCATCCTGCTACTATGTTTTTGTAATGTCTGGTAGGATTGATGCAGCATAATATACTTTTGTATAGTGGCTCACTGTACATGGTGATACTTGTGTATGCTTTCACAAGCTGAATGAATATAATACTTTACCTTTTGCTCAAAAAAAAAGGATAAAAGGTAACACCAAATTAAAAAGAAGAAACATAGAACTCAGAAGAGAAATGAGAAGATGCACTAATATTTGATGCTACAGAAGAATAATCTGATGACAAAATATTATCTTAAAAGCTCAAGACTACATTAAGCATGTAATCTCATATTAATTGATGCCCCCCTTGTCTAGAATAAAAAGATAGATCATATAGTATATAGGGGGTAATCACCAAGGGATTGAGATCCTGAAATATGTATGGTGGTCACTGCCTTGATGCAGAAACAGGTGAGAGGGAACTAGATAACAGGGTGACTAACGAACAACAGAACTCTTAGGTGACAGAGGTTCAAAGAACGGGAGCAGACATGTTTGTCAAGGGGCTCTGAAAGAAGAACTAGGGTTCCTTCAGGCTATGGAGCTTTTATTATTGTAGTACGTACATCAATGGGGGACATCAAGAACTCCAGAAGACCACAAGTTTGAGGCCAAACAAGGTTTTGGTGGTGGCTGAAACAAGGTGTGAAGTTACAGCTTTAATAATTTGTAGTCAAGAGACTCAAGTGGAGATTACAGAATCTGGAAGAGCAGAAACTTTTAATGTAACTCCCTTGGCTTTCATGACTACAGAGGACAATGGAATGCTAGAGAAATATGTAGGTATAAAGTGGAGCTACCAAGCAACTAACCAGTAAGGAAGTCCACGGAATAGAAACATAGATGAACACCATTTGCTTCTGAATCAAACGAGTAGTCTCTAACAAAGCCAAAAACTACAGCATTAATAAATCATTCAAAGCTCAACCAAGTTGAAAAAATTATTCACGATTTATGGATAACACCAGATGGAGTCCATGATAGTTAAGTCCTCAACCATATCGAATTGAACAAATGAGTCATATGAGAAGATTCAGTGATTGTTCTAGTAGGAATGTTCTATGTACTGTAAAGTTATATAGAAATAGGAGTTCTAAACATTCAAAATGAAATCACCCTGGATCCCAGGGACATGGTAACTTCCCTAACTTTCACTAATAGAAATCTTCATCATGTTCCCAATCGAAAGAAAATTGTGCTTCCCCAATAAGCCTGGCCTAGGGTGAGGTGCATCTCCAAGAAAACTCATCACCCAGCTTTCAAAATGGACCTGGCTGCCCAGGTTCCTAGAATAGCATCTATAACAATACCAACTATTACATAGTCTGAACTGAAGACAAGAAAATCAAAGTTGTATAGACAACAATATATAAGTTCCTTGAACATGTAAAGGACTACATTCCTTCCCCACAATCACACCAGAAATATCTGTAATCTGACAAAATCATATAATAATAACACCAAAAAGGTAAAGATTAGAAAAGGATTTCCATACCTCAGTTTTATGAGCTTCACTGAGATAAGGATCATTGTGAGTTTCAGATTTTGCAACCTGCAACTAGTGAACAAATTGGGTGGTCATTAGCATCACCCAGCTAACTAGATGATAAACTTCAGAATATGTGCAACTGCATGAGGAAAGGAATTTTCCAACAAGAATATGTCTTACTTTTGATGCCAATAACTTTCTTTGTCTACTTTTCATCTTAGGGGTAGATTGCTGCTTTGCTTCGGAAAGTGTACTAACATCAACAGCTGAATCTCTTCCCAGTTTGGCACCTTTTAGACCGGCATCTTCAACACAAGCCATTGACTGATGAGCTTTCTCCTCAGCTGTTGAAATTTTAGGTCTGGAATCACCAATGTCAGAAGTTCTCTTTTCTTCCTTAAATTGCACAGATGACTCTGGAATCACCAACAAAGCAACAAACTAAATTATTATCTCTGAAATTTCATAACAGAAAAAATTCCTTGTACTCTGATGCATAATTTCCTTCTGAATAGGAGGGAGAAATAATGTTAGTTCAAAGCTGGGTGGATCACTATACCCTTGAAAATTTTATTATTTAATCATATTTAAAGAAAATTCATCATCTTCACCTCCGGACTAGTTTATTTTGGATACCACCAATTGAGGGGTACATAAAATTGAACGTTAATGGCAGTAGTAGAGGAAATCCAGGCCCCTCAGGTGTAGGAGGATTGTTTAGAAATGAGTTAGGCCAGGTGGTGACACTCTTCCCACGACCAATTAGTTCTTGGGGATTCATTGGCGGCTGAAGCAATGGCAGTTGTAGAAGGGGTGGTTAAATCATAGGAGTTAGATGTGCACAAGCTGATGTTTTTTTTCTTTCTGTCATCATCAGTTGGTGGTTAAGTGGCTACAAAACAAAGGAAATGATTTATGGATGTACAAAAATGAGCTAAAGCAGATTAAATGGATAACAAGGGATATGGATATTAGAATTCAATAGGTTCAAAAGACAGCTAACAGAATGGCTGATGCTTTGGCAAAACAAGGGGTTGGGAGAAATCAAACATTTTGGGCTAGATTGCAAATTTTCGGTATTGGAGATAAGCTGTTTTATCTCCAATTGTACTTGTAGTTGTGCACTCTTATCTCTTCACTAATTAATGAAAGTTACAGTTATTGATAAAAAAATTATTATTTAATTATTTTATCAACTAAAAGACAAAGCAGTAAGTGTTTCAGTTCAGCAAATTCAGCCATTATCAAACGGCCTCTTAACCATCAAAAAATTCTAATTTGAATTTTTGGGGCATTTTTCTTCCTTCCAATATTTCTACCCAGCCCTGTTCTTCAATATTTGGACTGTAATACGGCCCAATTGATGTATAGCAGTGTTCGGAAGGGTTTGAAAATGTTTTTTGGCAATAAGGTGATGCTTTGTTAGTCAAAGTGCATGGTATATCTCTTATTGTTCCTATTTCCAAATTGCATTCCCAAAACCCTGTAGGATTTGATTGTGAGGAAATTGGCAGTGTGGAATATTGGGATTTAATTTGACCAAGAAGTTGGCAGATAACCAAGATTCCAAGAAGGTTGCAAGGGCTGGTATGATATCTATCAGCTGTCCAGACATTCAAATAACAAATGTAAAATCAGATGGGACAAATTTCTTAGAATGGGTGCAATCTGCCAAGCTCCATGTTGGTGGTAGGAGAAATTGGGTTACCTTACTGGTAAAGAAAAGGAACTCAACCTTGAAGATCTTGCACATGGAAAGACGGAACAGGAAAATTTAATGGTTATGTCATGGCTGGTGAGTTCCGTGCATCTTAACATTGTCAAAACTATGTGTGTCAACTGAGAAGAGAGAATAATGATCTTCAGCAGCGGCAGGGGGTGCATTTGCTTCTATGTACTTTTCAGCCTTGCAGTCATTGTGGAAGGAAACAGATCTGGAGGTAGAAGAATGACATTGTCCAAAGGATGCCAAAAGATAATAAGAAGTTAGAGGAATCTTTGAATTTAGTGAGACCATCACATTTGGGCACACCACATTTTTGATGCCCTAGTGAAATGGTTAATAAACCAATGTTTGTAATGATCATAGAAGTCAAAACATGAGGTGCTATTGTGGAAAATGGGATATGTCCAAATCCCTCCCTTTAACAATAGAAAAAACTGCTTACCAGATTCCATTGTAGATGATGGCATCATCAAAGATAAATCTGCCAGAGTTTGCAGTGCATCCAAGGCTGAGTTTTCATCTAACAAAAATATGATAAATAATAAGAGAACTAAGAATGGAATTTATAACAAACATTCAAAAGACAAGAGTGAACAAAATGAAGGTTAAAAGTGAGGTTAGTTTTTCTGTTCAACAAAATGATGCTCAAGAACTCTTCAATATGAAACAGAAATACAGATAAGCTTTCAGATAAAAATATTGCATCTTGTCAAAGAATAAAAAATTGATCAAGCATGCATTTTTTCAGTATAAAGAAAGAATGACAATTTATTAAAAGAGGGAAAATCTAGTCGAATAAAAGGGAGGAGTTTAAGCACAAGATGCAATAAGAACTATCAATATTGCATTTCATAATAAGAATATTGCAACCATAAAATTAATCACTTCTAAGAATGCCCTTGCTTCAATATTTGTCCATCTATAGTTGGGCTAATCTGTCACTAAAGAGAACAAGGCTCTAAAACTTCAAAATCACTACCAATTTGAGAATCACTAAAATGAACGAAAGACCCTCCAAGCTCCTCTCCTTCTTCCTTCTTAGAAGCAGAACAATCATATTGGTAGAAACAGTAAGACTATGACACCAAGGAGAGAAGTCTTAAAATACCTTAGGTTTGGCATACTATGGATTCCCCAACCAAATCTACCTACTCAAGCCACCAATTCCTTGAGTAATAGGTAGGCTAATGTAAAGAATATGCTCAGCATATCTAGTATATCAAACAAATCCAAGAGTAAAAAAGAAAACAACAGTAAGCCATATCAAGCAAGATTAGAAGTAGAAAAGCAAAAGAATGGAGAAAATCCTATCACTGTTAAATGAACAAAACAAGAGAAGCAAGAGCCATAAAAAAACTAAGAAATAAGATGTCTACTCAAGAGTCTGCCTTCAATTGCATCTGGAACTTTATGTGATAGGCGAATACAACTTAGATTAAAAGGAAAATTCTATAAATAGTTGTAAGGCCAGCTATGCTGTATGGAACAAAGTGTTGGGCAATCAAGAAACATGTCTAAAAAATGAGTGTGGCAGAAATGTGTATGCTGAGATGGATGAGTGGAAAACTAGAAAGGACAGGACTGGAAATGAAGTCGTTCAAAGCAATAGACTAAGATGGTTTGGTCACATGCATGGAATACCATCAACAACACCAGTAAGAAGTGATTTGTTCCAAATCCAAGGGGCTAGATAGGGGTAGACCAAAAAGGACATGGTAGATGTAGTATGAAATGATTTAAGCACCAATTATTTAACATTTGGATATAGCATTAAAAGAATAGATTGAAGAAATACAAATCATGTAGCAAAGCCATATGGTTGGGATAAGGCTTGAATGATGATGAATTTCTTCACATAATCGCATTTGAATTAAAAAAAATGCAATTTTATCAGCTTCTCAGTTTCCTAGCCCTTGCCTTCAATGTTTTGCAATAAATTTTTTTGGGCAGTTTTTTGCGCCTCCCTTGGATTAAGCACATCTCAACATATCTCTCCTTGTTCTCTTTCAAATTTATTCATTTTCTCCTTTGAATTTTTTTGATCAGTAACAGAAAAAGATTTTATTAATTAAGAAGAATAGAACAAGTACAAGTCATGGGTAGCCTTGGCTACCCCGCTATGTAATTTCAACCTTCACAAACCAAGAAACTTTGGTTTCTTTATCTTTACAACTGAGCCTAAAAACACTGTTCCCTATTAACCCCTTGCTTTGCTAACTAATCTGCTAGACTATTGACCATTCTTGGAATCCACTGAATTGACAAAAGCATGTCCCTTGAGAGTCTTCTAAACTTTTTGATCTCATTTCTGAAGTACCAGGGAGTTTTTTCATTCTCCTTCAACCAGCTTATGACTACTTTGGAATCTCCTTCAACTACCAGCTTCCTTACCCCCATTTCCACTGCTTTTTGCACCCCAAACATAATTGCACTCAATTCCGCTGTTGTGGAATCTCCTGTTCCAATAGGGCCTGAATACAATCCCACAATTCTCCCATGTTCATTTCTAATCACCCTTCCTATTCCAGAAGAACCCAAATTACCAAAGCTACTGCCATCAAAGTTTAGCTTAAGGAAACCTAACTCAGGAGGACAAGGATCCCAATCCCTTAATATTCTCTTTCTAGCTATAGGAACCTCAAACATAGCTAGAAGATGCAGAATTCAGAAGAACAGAAAAAGTCAACAGCAGATAGCAGTGTCAAAGGTGTTTGCTAGGATAAAAGGAGCTCCATTTGGCATTGGGCCCAAGAAGATAGTAAGAAAACACAAAAATGTAGTCAGAAGACAACAAGAAGATTGCAATAAAAAATCAAACCAGAAGACTGATTGAGTCGGTCTTCTTGTTGGGTAGCGGTTGTGGGTGCTTGGGGTCTTGTAAGGGCATCAGTATTGTTTGTTTTGATGATCGGGGTTGTATTCGGTCAATGTTTTGTATCGTTTATGTGTATTTTTGCAAGGGGTTTGGTTTTTGAGGGGCTGGCCATGTTGGGATGGTTTGGGCTTACTGGGTTTTGTTTTATCTTTGTTGGGTGTTCCTTGGATTGTTCTTTTCCCTCAGGTGATTGCTTATCACCTTTCCTTGTATCTTCATCAAAAATATTCTCTTTTTGGAGGAAGATGAGGCTGCAACTGTTCCCTAATTCCTGATTACATCACCGAAGGTAAAGTCAGAGAACACACTCAAAGATTTTATCCAGTCTGCCACTTTTACCATAATCCCTTCTATCAAAGCTTCCTTGCTTCTTTTCTTCTCCTCAAAGATTCACAGATATCTTTCCTCCCATAGTGCCCATACCACTGCTACCCTCGTGCATCTCCATTGTATTCTCCCCCTTCTTTTTCGCCACCTGAAAGTAGAAGCATCAAACAACCAGTCCAGCCAGTCAAGGGTGTTCCACCTACAACCAAAGAGTTAAAAAACCAATCCCAAATACAGCAAGCAAAGGGAAAAGAAATGGGCAAATGATAAGCAGTTTCATTGATAGACTCACACAAATAGCACCAATTTGGGGAAAGGCATCAACCGGGTCTCTTCCTCTACAGCAAATCACATATATTAATTGCACCATGGAAAACCCAACAAAAAGCACCTGCTTTTGGAGGAATAGGCCAACAACAAAATTCTTTAATCGGGAAAGACACGGCAGATGTTCTGTGAGAGCCCATGAATGCCAACCACAACCTTGTGCCACATTCTTTTTTTTCTTTTTTTTCAATCTTCCTAATCCCAATCTGCCAAGATCCTTCCTTCTACCCACTACTTCCCACTTGATCAAATGACCTTTCCTTTCCTCGCCTGGTTCCCACAAAAAAATCTCTCATTATTTTCTCTAACTTTTTAATTATGGCTTAAGGCTTGCAAAGCACTGAGAGGTAATAAACTGGGAAGTTTGCTAAAATCAACTTAATAAGAGTTATCCTACCCCTAGAGAGATATAATTTCTCTTCCACATTGCCAACTTCTTTTCAAACCTCTCCATTAAATAATTCAATGGCTAATCGCTTGACAAGCACCCTAACTCTCCCGCCCACACGTCTAACATTCTTAGATTCCTAGCCCCTACCTCATCCTCATTCTCACAAAAGATGATGCCATCCACAAATTGCATGTGGGATATCACCAATCTATCTCTTCCTATTCGCCACCCCTTTATTAATCTCATCTCATTAGCTTTCAAAATCAATCTGCTAAACACTTCCATTATGACAATGAAAAGAAAGGAGGAGAGGGGTCCCCTTGTCTCAAACCTCTTAATGCACAAAAAAAAAGTCCTTTACCACCCCACTTACCAAGACTAGAAAATGGCAAGTTTGCAAAAACCCTCTAATCCATTTGCACCATCTTGCACCAAAACCACAACTCCTCAAGGCTTCAACTAAAAAATTGCAATCCATAAAATCGTGGGCTTTCTCCAAATCTAGCTTACAAACAACAGCCTTCCTCCCGAATTTCTTAAACTCCTCCACACATTCATCGGTAATAAGCAATTGGTCCAAGACTTGTCTCTCTTCAATGAAAGCCCCTGAAATTGAGAGATAATTGACAAGAGAGCCTTTTTTAACCAAAGGGAAAGGACCTTGGCTAGAATTTTGTACTAATTCATTACCAAGCTGATTGGTCTAAAAATCGTTGGGATGGCGAGCCCAGATTTCTTAGGGATCAAAACAATGAAAGTAGCACCAACATCCCTACTAATAATCCCTCTATGAAAAAATTCCTCAAAGACTTTCGTTAAGTCCCCTTTAATCTACTCCCAACAATCTCAGTAGAAATCCATGGTAAAACCATCAGGTCCAAGTACCTTAAAACAATCCATAGAAAAAATTGCATCATTGCATCCTTTACCTCTTCCAAATCAAATTTTTTCTCCAAATCTCTACTCAAAGTACATCTAGGGATGGCCACTCCAAACCCTCCAACTTCAATCTCTCTAAAACTAGCCTTCTATAAATTGATTTAAAATGATCCACAAAGGCCTTTGCAATATCTTTCTATTGTTGTACCATCCTCCAGTTTCAACATATATATGAAATTTTCCCTCCTCTCATTTGCAACCATATGGAAGAAATGTTCATTCTTATCTCCTTCATTGATCTATCTCACCCTTGATTTCTGCTTCCAATTTATGTCATGTTTCAACAAGGTGGCTTCCAACTATTTTTTCAAATTTAATCTCTCCTCCTTTTCTCATTCTACCATTTGTCCCTACTCTTCCTTTCTATCAATCTCTTCAATTCGACTAATCAAGCTTGATTTTCTCTCTTCAACTCTCCCAAAATTATTAATATTCCATTCCTTAATTATTTTCTTTCAGATTTTGAAGCTTCCTATGAAATTTAATCCCTTCACCCTTCCTTAATTATTTTCTTTCAGATTTTGAAGATTCCTATGAAATTTAATCCCTTCACCCTCAGCTTGGAGATTGTCCTGTTCCCACCAGTCCCTAACCTTCTATACAAATCCAGGGCAGTAAGCCACATATTTTCAAAACTAAAGGGCCTCAATCCTCCATTAAA